AGCCTGGGCTGTACTGTGTGTGAGAGTGTCATTATCCCCATTTTGCAGATGCGGGAGAGGAAGAGCCTGTCTGAAGGGAATTCCAGGCTTTCCAAATCACGGCAGGCTCCTAGCCCCTACACCACACCAGCCTCCTGAATAACTCTGCCAGTTTTTAAGGAAAAGGAGAGGGGAGGAGGAGGAGGAGGAGGAAAAAGCCAAGAAGCGAGAGAGTAAAAGAGGTCGCCATCGGGGTGAAATAAAAAAATGTAAGGTCTTATATATATAATAAATGTTCATAAATGTACCAAGCAAACACGTACATAAATATATAAACCACATGTCCGAAGCAGCACAGGAAAACAGCCCTGAAACCATTTTGACTCCCAAACTGACCAAATGTTTTCTCTGCAAGGTCAAGGAAAATGGAAAAGCCTCCCCATTGTCTTTTCATTCACAAAAGCTGTCTTAAGGGTATGTCTGTGTATGAATAGGGTGAGCCTGTGTCCTAGCTCAGGAACTAAGTATTTATCATTACAAAAGACTGGCCAGGCTCCCCAGGGTATCCAATCAAGTAAGCATTAACAGGTAACCTGCCAGACAGGAGGTAAACAACGCACTCAGATTTCTGTTGTAGACCGCCTTTTCTGTGATGTAGGTGTGATATGTCTGGGGGGGTTGCCTTGAGCTACACTCCTTCTGTGATGTATGTATGATGTTTCTGGGGATGGTCTTGGACTCCAGGGTGGGCAATTTAAAATGTCTATATAAGGGCGGGCACACCTGGGTTCTGGGTCCTCCTCCTTTCTTGCGTGTGAAGGGGGCACCCTGTTGCAACAGTTCAATAAAGATCAGGCTTACGAGCTGCTTTGCTTCTCAATATTCTCTGGTTGGCCTCTGTTCTTTTCTCCGACCGATGGAGAACCTGCAAAGGACTCTATAAGGGCTCTTGTGTTCCCCATAAGGGAATAAGGGCAGATGTTCGTTTATTACAGGGGAAACCCTTTCTCCTGCAGCATCTTCACTGCAAGGAAGTGGACCGCGAAGACTTCCTCAAACCCTAGGAGAACTCTCCACTGCGTCTCGCCGCAAAAGGAAGAGTGTGTTGGAAAACAGGAAGCGTTTCTTGGCATAAATGGGCATTGCTACGTGTAAATGACCTGCTGCCAGATCAAGAGGTGGGCATTGCTGCTAGGTACTTGGGACACAGCCCCCCCTCCAAAAATTTGCACATGCCAATTATAAACTTGGGCTGACTTTCAGAGTGGGTGGGGGGAACAAACTCTCAACCATGAGTAGGCAAAATAAGGTCCGGGGGGCGGATCCAGCCCAATCGCCTTCGAAATCTGGGCCGTGTTCAGTCCGGGAATCAGTGTGTTTTTACATGAGTAGAATGTGTCCTTTTATTTAAAATCATCTCTGGGTTATATGTGGGGCTTGCCTGGTGTTTTTACATGAATAGAATGTGTGCTTTTACTTAAAATTCATCTCTGGGTTGTTTGTGGGGCATAGGAATTTGTTCATCCCCCCCAAAAAAATATAGTCTGCCCCCCCACAAGGTCTGAGGGACAGTGGACCGGCCCCCTGCTGAAAAAGTTTGCTCTTAACTATCAAGGCTTGCTTCTGAGCTCTAAGAGGCCAGGAAGATTTTCTGTGCCCAGGACACTGAATATCAACATACGTAATTCAAGTCCTGCTGGGTCACACCAATGGCCCATCAGGATCCTGTTCTCACAGTGGCCAACAGATGCCTGTGAGAACCCTCTCCCTTACTATGTTGTTGTTGTTGAGTCGTTTAGTCGTGTCCGACTCTTCGTGACCCCATGGACCAGAGCACGCCAGGCACTCCTGTCTTCCACTGCCTCCCGCAGTTTGGTCAAACTCGTGCTGGTAGCTCCGAGAACACTGTCCAACCATCTCGTCCTCCGTCGTCCCCCCCTCCTTGTGCCCTCCATCTTTCCCAACATCAGGGTCTTTTCCAGGGAGTCTTCTCTTCTCATGAGGTGGCCAAAGGATTGGAGTCTCAGCTTCAGGATCTGTCCTTCCAGTGAGCACTCAGGACTTCCTATAGCTTCCAGCAACTGAGATTCAGAAGTATTCCTGAATCTATCCAGCCATGGAGGCAGAGTTAGCATCATTTGAGAGCTTTACTGCTCTCCCGTGAATTTGACTATTCCTCTTTTGAAGCCACCCAGGTTGGGGGAGCCCTCCCTGCCTCCTGTGGCGGTGAGTTCCATAGTTTAACTACAAATTGCATGAATAACAACTTCCTTTCATCTGTCCTGAGTCTTCCAAGATTCAGTTTTACTGGATGCCTAGAAGTTTATAAAGTGGAGACAGAAAAGAGGAATATGCAGCTGCCCCATACAGGGATCGAACCTGCAACCTTGGCGTGATCAGCACTGCACGCTCTAACCCCTGAGCTCCCTTTGCCATTACATCGCCAAGCACTTAGGAACACAAGAATACAGAAAGTTGCCTTAATGAAGGACCAGGTGTGCAGCCTGGGAGTCATTCTGGACTCACAGCTGTCCATGGAGGCGCAGGTCAATTCTGTTTCCAGGGCAGCTGTCTGCCAGCTCCATCTGGTATGCAGGCTGAGACCCTACCTGCCCACAGACTGTCTTGCTAGAGTGGCGCATGCTCTAGTTATCTCCCGCTTGGACTACTGCCATGCGCTCTACATGGGGCTACCTTTGAAGGTGACCCGGAAACTGCAATTAATCCACAATGCGGCAGCTAGACTGGTGACTGGGAGCGGACGCCAAGACCACATAACACCGGTCTTGAAAGACCTACATTGGCTCCCAGTACGTTTCTGAGCACAATTCAAAGTGTTGATGCTGACCTTTAAAACCCCAAACAGCCTCGGTCCAGTATACCTGAAGGAGCGTCTCCACCCCATCGTTCAGCCTGGACACTGAGGTCCAGCGCCAAGGGCCTTCTGGTGGTTCCCTCACTGCGAGAAGCCAAGTTACAGGGAACCAGGCGGAGGGTCTTCTCGGTGGTGGCACCCACCCTGTGGAAACCCTCCAAGCAGATGTCAAAGAGAAAAATAACTACCAAACAGGCAGCCCTGTTTAGGGAAGCTTTTAATGTTTAATAGGTTGTTGTATTTTAGTGTTTTGTTGGAAGCAGCCCAGAGTGGCTTGGGAAACCCAGCCAGATGGGCAGGGTATAAGTAATAAATTATTATTATTATTATTAATCGTGGACCATCTGTCTTAGTATTGTCTACACTGATTGGCAGCAGCTCTCGGGGTTTGGGGCAGGGGGTCTCTCTTAATACCTGCAGATGGCAGTGATTAAACCTGAGCACCATATGATCACAGGCTCTCCATCCGGGTGCAGAATGAGTGCATCGAAGAGAGAAAAGGAGAGAGAGAGAGAAAATCTTGACTGCAAAAGTACCTCTGGTTAACTTGGTGGCAGCATCGTACATTAAAATAATAATAATAATAATAATAATAATAATAATAATAATACAACAATCTTTATTACGGTCCAGAGACCCAACAAATCATTACAAAGCAATACACAATTCATACAGCCTACCTCCAGGTTAAACAAGCATTTTGTTCAGAATATAGGGATCATTGGTTCTTGCAACCACCAATAAAAACTTCGCCACTGCTAATGTTCAAGCGTTTGTCTGGTCTTCCAATAGGAACCTGACATAGTGAGCCTCTGATTTTCCCGGGAAAGGTACCAGCAAGGGTAGTATCAGTTCAGCCCTGGCTTGCTCATATTTTGCACAGTGCCGCAAAATATGTTTTACGGAATCGATGTCTTGAGCACACGAGCAAAGTCTGTCCTGGTAGGGAACTCCTCTCAACCTGCCATCCAACACTGCAGAAGGAAAGACGTTTAGTCTGGCTTTGGAGAATAACCTTCGATAGTTTGGTATTGTCAGGTAATAATAATAATAATAATAATAATACTCCCCCCCCTGCAAACTGCAAGCGCAACAAGCTTCTAGTCCTCTGTGACTTCTTTCTCTAAGGCAGCCTCTACCTTGTTCTGAGGCCCTGTCATTATGCAGATTGGCATAGTGAAAATCTACCTGGAAATTCCTCCCTGGGCGGGGACCAGGTGAGGTTAACTCAGGTGAAATGTGAGCACTTTGTCCAGGCTCAGAGGTTCTCTTGGTTTTTTTTTAATCCCCGCCTTCCCGCGCGGGTTGGGTTTTGGCATAAAGAACCGAAACAGGAGAGGCTGGAGGCCGGGGATTGCCAGCAGGGAGCGCTCTTGCACGACGTGCTGATCGAATGAGCGTAGCCGGCGGAGAAAACAGGGCAGCCTCCGGGGAGTCGTCTCCAGCAGCGAGGGAATTTTGGGATTTTCCTCATCCCAGCTGTCGTCGTCTCCCAATTAGGTTTGACACCTGCTGGCACGGTGTCGAAAGGCAGGAAGAGGCTTCCACGCCCTTAGCCACAGCTGGAGAGGTTTGTAATGGCTACGGGGCAGAGACTCCTTTCAGCCTTTCCAGAATCCTGGAGAGAGGAGTCCGGATCTTCCTGGAAACCAACTATGAGCAAAGAGGGTCTGCCTCCAGCCCCGATAGCCACCCAGCGCACTGCAATGCAAACTGGAAGGATCTGCAACCCCTGCGGGGCAGAGACCGTGGCCTTTCTCTCCAACTTCTTAAACGGCGGACAAAATAAAGGCAGCAGCTACTCGCCTTTTAAAGAGAGGCAAGCCAGGGGGTCCAAACTAACTTGCAAACCAAATCTCCCCCCCCCGCCCGGAATGAGTTGACTAACAGACGGCCGACATGCACTCTGCACGCGCTCAGGGGCACTCTTTCTCACATGCGCCCAAGGCTGGTTTTCCCCGACGCTCCCCCTCGCCCTGCGCTGAGCCCCCGTTTCGCTTGCCAGCGCCGCATCTCGCCTCCTTCCTCTCGGCGCGCTCCCCGGTGCCTCTCCAGCCGTTCCGGATCCACTCCGGAGCGGCGGGGCGGGGTGTCGTGACTTCATCGCCGCCGCCCGCCATTGGCGCCCTGCCTTGTCACTCAAGGCACTTCCTTCTCGGGGGGGAAGGCGAGGGGAAAGAAAAGCGAGAGAGGGAGAGAAAAGTTTGTTGGCGCATCAGGAGCGCACGGTTTCGCCGGTGGCCTTTGGAGACGCGCGCGCAGAGCGCACCGAGGCGCACCGTCAAGTGGGCGCTCCAGCCTCCATCCATGTGAGACCCTCCCCGTTTTGCGGGGTGGGAGGTGGCGGGGAGACTCCGGCGACCGCCGCCCCGACGCCACCACCACCACCACGATGGCCTCTCCTCCCGGCCGCTCCTCGTCCTGCTCTCCAGCCCCAATGTCCCCGGCAACGGGAGCAGCAGCAGCCCCCGAGCCGGCGCCGGCTCCGTCGTGCGCCCTGGCCGGCGCCTCGCCTTGCCACGGCGTCTCCTTCCAGATCCAGATCGGGCTGACCCGCGAGTTCGTCCTGCTACCCGCATCTTCCGATCTCGCCCACGTCAAGCAACTGGCGTGCTCCATCGTGGATCAGAAGGTGCGCAAGGCTGGGGGGGGGGGTTGGCAGCAGGGGGTTCGCCATGGGGCTGTGGTCGGGGGAGAGCAGAGACCTGCGCCGGGGGAAGTCTCCAAAGCCTGGGGGGCTGGGCTCGTGGATGCGTAACTCGTGCCTTTGTTTTATCTTTACTCCGGGTTAATAACTCCGGATTAACTGGAAAGGCGAGCCTGTCGCGGCTGCGTGGATGCTTTGGGTTGCTTTAAGGTTTTGTATTTGGTCAAAGGCTGTGCGCAGCTCAGTCGGTAGAGCACGCTTGAGTTTAGGGTTGTGGGTTCTAGCCCCATGTTGGGCGAGAGATTCCTGCCATTCGGGGGGTTAGACTAGATGACCCTCGTGGTCCCTTCCAACTCAGCAATTCTCTGATTCTATTGCAATGGTCTAAGGCAATATTTTGGATAACGCGTTATCCGCGTGCTCCCTTGTTGGGTCATGTATGCAAGATAATGGACTGCTTTGCTTATTATAGCGTAACAAATATTTTTTAAAAACTGAAAGAACGCCAGGTTAGCTACTGCAGTTTTCGGCCACGAATGTGGATCTGCCTTCCGTTCCTGAAGTTTTGTGCTGGTAGAAAGGGCCGTGAGCAGGATGTGGGGACCTTTTATTCCTCTCCGGTCGGTGAGCACTGAAGCGTGGTAAGAATTACGTGGTACTTTTGCATCGAAAGGGAAGCGTGGTACATGTCATGGCATCTGTTTGCAGTTCCTCCTCTCCTGGCGCTAGTCGAAGCCAGTTTGCTGGGTGGGAGCTGCCTCCGCTTTGAAAAAAAATAAATACAGTGGTACCTCGGGTTACAGACGCTTCAGGTTACAGACTCCGCTAACCCAGAAATAGTACCTCGGGTTAAGAACTTTGCTTCAGGATGAGAACAGAAATCGTGTGACGGCAGCAGGAAGCCCCATTAGCTAAAGTGGTACCTCAGGTTAAGAACAATTTCAGGTTAAGAACAGACCTCCACAATGAATTAAGTTCTTAACCCGAGGTACCACTGTAAATCCATCCCTGCTTTGATACAGGTGCCACAGAACATCATCACCACCAAGCCTGTGGCAAAGTCTCGTGAGACTGGATGAAGTCTCGTGAGATTTCTTTCTACGGCTTCTGAAGACTAGGGGGGAGCCTTGCCACTTACGGGGCGGCCCTCCCCTCTCGGTCTGTGAGCGGTTCCTGCCTGGCTTCAGGCTCTGGCCAGCTCAGCCGAGTGCCAGTGGCCAGGGAGTGGCCGGTTGACCGGTAGCTGCTGCTCCCTTTCATTTCCATTCAGAGCACAGCCTTAGAAGCCATTGGTACTCCTTGGTCCAGCTGGCAGAGTGCCAGCCTGGCTGCAGGGCACCGGGGCGGGCAGAAGCAATAAAGTGCCAAGGTGGAGCTTGGGGGGGGGCACCAGTTTTGCTGCCCTTCCCAACCCACCACCAGAGACACACTGAAAGTGCATGGCCTCCACAGGAATCCCGGGAACCGTAGCTCTGCAATTCCGGCAAACTACAGTTTCCAGGGTTGTCTGGGGTAAGCCATGCGCTTTATGCGATTTGATTGTGTCATGCTTCGTGTCTTCCCTCTCTTTTGTATTCTTTGGCAGCAAAATAAATTGCAGGCTCCTTGGGGCAGAGACCTTCGGGAGGCTTTTTTTAAAAAAAAGTGCATTTACTCTGCAAAGGCAGATTTGCTGCGTAAGATGAATAAAAAGGGAGCCTCACGTCTGAAGGGCCTCAGTGTGGGTGCTGTGATTTCATTACTCACACGGCAACTGCGGTGTGGTGATTTGTGTGTGCGTTTTATTGTGTGTGTCGTGGGCCTGCCCGGCCCTTTGTGTATATTGGAGGCTGTTTGTGTACGGTTCATATCCAGCTGTGTGTTTATCGGTAGGTAAACACTGCTGTTTGTATGTGTACGACGTTGGAGGCCTTGTGCACAGACACACTTTATCTGTCCCCGCAAAGGTCTTTCGGGAACAACAGTTGGCATTAGAACCATAGAACCGTAGAGTCGCAAGGGACCCCGAGGGTCATCCAGACCAACCCCTGCGATGCAGGAATCTGGGCTAAAGCAGCCATGACAGATGGCCGTCCAACCTCTGCTTAGAAACTTCCAAGGAAGTCCACAACCTCCCGAGGGAGACTCTTAATGTCAGAAAGTTCTTCCTGATGTTGAGTCGGAATCTCCTTTCTTGTAACGTGAAGCCATGGGTTCGAGTCCCTCTGCCCCGTGTGCTAATGTCTGTTGATCAAGCTGTTTCGCAAGGGCAGGCCGAGTAAAAGAAATAATAATAATATAATAATTTTTTTTAATTTATATTCTGCCCTCCCCAGCCGAAGCCGGGCTCAGAGCAGCTAACAACAATAAAGTAACACTTCATTCTAAAATCAATTCAGAATCAAATTCATGGCAACCATTGGGCTAGAGTTCTGTGAGGATTACCGAAGGAGGGAGTCAGGCTGTGCCCTAGCCAAAGGCTTGGTGGAACAGCTCCGTCTTGCAGGCCCTGCGGAAAGATGTCAAGTCCCGCAGGGCCCTAGTCTCTTGCGACAGAGCGTTCCACCAGATCGGGGCCACGGCCGAAAAAGCCCTGGCTCTGGTTGAGGCCAGCCTAACCTCCCTGTGGCCCGGGATCTCCGAGTTGTTTTTGTTTGAAGACTGTAAGGTCCTCCGTGGGACATACCAGGAGAGGCGGTCCCGTAGGTACGAGGGTCCTAGGCCGTATAGGGCTTTAAAGGTTAAAACCAGCACCTTAAACCTGATCCTGTACTCCACTGGGAGCCAGTGCAGCTGGTATAGCACCGGGTGAATGTGATCTCACAGCGAGGACCCCGTAAGGAGTCTCGCCGCGGCATTCTGCACCCGCTGGAGTTTCTGGGTCAGTCTCAAGGGTAGCCCCGTGTAGAGTTACAATAATCAAGTCTAAAAGAAGTTTTCTCTCAGCCCTAAAGCCTGCCAGATGACTTTTTCCCAGCCTAATCTACTTTGCAGGGTTGATGGGAGGATAAAATGGAAAGGAGGAGAAGCATCTAGGCCACCTTGAGCTCTCTGGAGAAAAGGCAGGATATCGATTCAACGATAAAGTAATAAAATGATGTTGGCAGCCTTTGGGGAATCCCAGTTTGGAGTCCTTGAATGATCCTGAATGCCACTAGCTGAACTTCAGGGCAGTCATCCTCTGCTGGCCTGACCAATTCCCAGGGTTGTTGTACGTAGAAAACGGAGGAAGGCCTATATTTCTGCCGCCCTGAGCTGTGGGGAGGGCAGGATAAGAACCAATTGATGGTCAACGTGTGTCTTGCTCCAGATTGTGTTGGAAGTTTTGTTTGCGTGACATATTTTGCGGCAGCCTTCCCCTGTCTCCACACACAGACACACACACACACACGGTACCTTCCAGATGTTTTGGACTACAGTTCCTATCTGGCAAAGCTGTTTGAAGTACCGTTCGCTTCTTAAGCCTTCTTTCGACAGCCCTCCTGCCTGGCCAGACTCGCACTGAAGCCATGTTCACACCATACATATAAAGCACCCTAATATACCACTTTAAACAGCTCTGGCTTCCCCCAGAGAATCCTGGGAGTTGTAGTTTAAGGGTGCTGAGACTTGTTAGATCACCCATATTCACAGACCTGCAGTCTTCGGAGTTACCCGAGCAGAGGGAATTATCGATAGACCGCTCTGTGAATTGTAGCTCTGCAAACTCCTGACCCATTTCAGCTCCTTTAACAAACTACACTTCCCAGGATCCTTTGGGGCAAACTGTTTAAACTGGCATTGCAGTGCTTTAAATGCATGTGCCCAGAATCTAGCCCAGTTTTTAAAATGGGAGGTGCTAGGGCGTAAGGCCGCGCCTGACAGGCCCTCGTTCAAAATTCAGACAGGCATAGATTGGTGATGGGTCTCTCTGAGGTAGGTGAGAGGGACCTTAACGCATGCTCAGAGGTACTCTTGTTTTGCATGCTCTCAAGGCTGGATGAGGCGGAAGTTAGTTCTGAGCTGTGTGGGGAATCCCGGTTAACCCATTACATAAATAAATGTAAAATACAAATTTCTAATCTTCAGGGGGTAAGTACCACTAGTTTCCTAGGCCGAAGGAGACCACCTTCCCATTCGTACGAGGCTGACACCTGCAAATTTGGGGGAACCCCTGGGGTTTGAGCAATCTTTATCTTGCGGGGGGAACCACCTCAAAGAGAGACAAAACCTCAAACTGAGAGGAAGGGAGCAAGCGATGGAGTCGCTGGAATCCTGCAGTAACTCAGCACTGCAACATTCTGTCGCAGTTCCCTTTCGTCGCAGCCCTAATATTTACATAGCTCTTTTTGAGTCGCGCTTTGCATAAACGATCTCGATAATCTTTGCAACGGTCTTGCAAGATAGGGTCAGGCGTGTTCCCGAAGCGAAGGGGGCGTGAGACTCATACCGAGAATAGCGGTTTCTCCAAAGGCCACGTACCGCATCTGTGGCTGAGAGATGGGTGGTGTGGCGATGTTGTGGCTCACGCCACTGCTGGCCACTGCACTGCCTGGACTCTTTCCCTTCCTCTCCCAGCCGGTCCAGGGCCCCTCGTGCTATATATACAAATATTTTATGTTTCAGCAAAGGAGCGGAAACAGCAGCCAAGACGCTGGCTGCCTCTCTCCCCTCTGAGCAGGAAAGGGAAGTGTCCCTGGTTCCGAGAGGCCGAGTGATAATCTTTGGGATGTCTCCCGGATGGGAGCGTCCCTCGTCCACATCCTTTAGGCCCGGGCTGGAGGAAACTTGGAAGCAGCCTTGCCAGGGAGAGTTAAGTCAAGCTGGGTATTAAGAGACAGGCAAGCCTCCTTCTCCGAGTCACACAGACCCCTCTGCCATCCCAAATTGCAGATTTGCAGCTGATAAACTGTGGAACTCCCTGCACCAGTTTTTAGAAACTAGAAGGAGTGGAGATTTGCTTGGGTCCTGCAAGCTCTTCTACGTTCTTAATGTCCATTCTGGTCTTTTTGCTCCAAACTATTCCG